CTGGTCTTTTTTTTTTTTTTTTTTTAAAGATTTATTTATTTATTATGTATAAACATTCTGCCTCCATGTATGCCTGCATGCCAGAGGAGGGCGCCAGATCTCATTACAGATGGTTGTGAGCCACCATGTGGTTGCTGGGAATCAAACTCAGGACCTCTGGAAGAGCAGTCAGTGCTCTTAACCACTGAGCCATCTCTCCAGCCCCCCCCAGGCTGTTCTTGAACTCACAGAAATCCACCTGCCTCTGCCTCCCACGTGCTGGGATTAAAGGCATGTGCTACCATGTCTGGTGTTTTATCTTTTTAAAAAGGTGTCACTATGTAGCCCTGACTGGTCTTTAATATTCTATATGGCAAAGAATGACCCTGAACTCCTGACTCTCCTGCCTCCATCACATGGGATTAAAGGCAACAAGTGGGCAACACCAAGAGATTCCATTTCCAAGTGAGGACTTTGGCTGACTGTTGTATTCCGTATGGTTTTTCCATTTGTTTGAGCCATTCTCAAACTCTGTCTTCCTAGAAAACGTGGACACAGACTTCCAAGCCAACCTGGGGCAGATTGAAGAGAAGCCCGTGCCTGCTGCTCCTGTGCCCAGCCCAGTGGCTCCGGCCCCAGCGCCATCCAGGAGAAACCCCCCTGGTGGCAAGTCCAGCCTGGTCTTGGGTTAGCTTCTTCTGTTGGAACTCTGTCCTTCTGTTTGTTTGTTTTTCCATGCTTGTGAGCTGCACAACTGTACATCTTTTGGATCTGTTTCATTAAAAGAGAAGCACTTTATGTACTGCTGTCTTTTTTTAAATCCCCCATGCTTTCTCTATTCCTTTTTCTTGTGTCTGACTTCTGGGTCTGTGGGCCCTGGCATGAGTGTTTCCTAGTAGACTGGAGTAGTAGACTGTCTTTAAAGAACAAATGATCTGGTTCCTATGTTGTTAGCGTCGCATTTGTACCAGGGTTTTGGATGCTGTACTTGGCTTACTGTGGTGGGACACCCAGCAGCCACAGGGCTGCGATGGAGCATGCTCCTTGGTGTCTGCTCCACCATCACCGCGTCCTCTGCTAAGTGCACCTTCCTGTTCAAGTGGAATGATACAAAGATGTGCATCTCACGCCCGCTGCCTGCAAGAGGACGGAAGCCAGGGCCATTGTGACGGGCTAGCTGCTGGGCAGAGCCACCCAGGTGCAGAGGAGCTTCAGGTGTACGATCAGCTGCCTGGATTTCCAAGGTGAAGCGCACAAGGAGGCAGTCCCAGAATGGGGCTGTAGGCGCGGGTCCCACAGGGACATCGTAATGGAATAACTCAGTGCCATGTGCATGACGCTTGACCATGAAGAAAGTCTCATCCTTGAAACCTGTACTTCTAGGTCCTGGACTGTTGCTTAAAGTAAAACAATACCCACCTTTTGAAGTACTGTGGTTTGTCTTTTTTTTTTCTTTTTAAGTGTGTGTGTGTGTGTGAGAGAGAGAGAGAGTCTCACTGTGCAGCTGAAGCTCGTCTTGAACTCCTGACCCACCTTCGCGTGCATATTAGAGGCATGTTCTAGCATACCTAGTTTATGCAGTGCTGGAGATGGAGCTGTACCCAGTTCCGGCCCTTAAACGTCCTTCCTGGGCCTTGACTTTCCTAGAAATAATCCTGTCCACTGGTTCAATAAAGCATCTGAAGTTGAGCAGTGTAATAAAAGTCCAAAGGGAAGTGGAATTTTCTTCAAAAAATACAGGTTAGATTGTTTTCTTTTAAATGATTCTCATTTCAGCTGTGACTGGTATTGAGTCTCCTGCTTCCCACACCTGGAGTCAGGTGTATACCATCACAGCTGGCCAGCATGGACGCGGAGGCACTGACTTTGAACCTCTGCAGCTAGTCTTTTTTTTTTTTTTAAGATTTTTTTTTTATTTATGTATACAACAGTCCGCCTCCCTGTATGCCAGAAGAGGGCGCCAGATCTCATTACAGATGGTTTTGAGCCACCATGTGGTTGCTGGGAATTGAACTCAGGACCTCGGGAAGAATAGTCAGTGCTCTTAACTGCTGAGCCATCTCTCCAGCCCGCAGCTAGTCTTTTTTGTGTGGAGGCCCTGTGTCACCATTATGTCATCCTATCCCAGCATGTGATCCCACCCCCACTTCCGAAGTCCAGACCTCCCTTGAGATCCACATGGCTCACATCAGAGGATGAAGGCTACAAGGGGAGAGTCAGAACCACAGCAGGGTGCTCCTTAAACAAGGCTGCAGTGAGAAGATAGAAGCTTTCTGGGCTTGAACAGGAAGTTTGAGATCAACCGTCAAGGTGTCATGTGCAGTGTCCAAATCTGGCTTTAAGACCTGGCTCATGGGTTGGAGAGATTGCTCAGTGATTAAGAGCACCACCTGCTCCTCTGAAGGTCCTGAGTTAAATTCCCAGCAACCACATGGTGGCTCACTACTGTCTGTAATGAGATCTGGTGCCCTCTTCCGGCCTGAAGGTATGCATGTAAGCAGAATACAGTATACACAATAAATAAAAATACCTGGTTCACAATTCCACCTATGTGACAGGCTGGGGTACCTTGCCACATCTTTGGAGCCTCTACTTCCTTACCAGCAAATGAGACCTTGGAGCCACATGGCATATCTTTGAGGATTGGGATTATTGAGCTGGAGAGATAGTTCAGCAGTAAAGACTGCTTGTTCCCGTGTCAGTGGCCCACTACTGTCTAACTCTAGCTCCAAGGGGATCCGATGCCCTGACCTCCACAAGCACCTATGCATGTGGCCTGGACACACACAGAAAAATCCCCTTTGAAAAAGCATGGGTCATTGGAAAGCATTTTGCATTAATGTTAAATTGACAGCTGTATGTAGTCCAGGGTCATCCCAGTATCCTGAAACAGGCTAGCCTTCTAGATAGGAATGTTTTTACTAGCCCGAGTCTCTACCACAAATCTTACAGGAGGGAACCTACCTGTACCCATCTTTTTCAGCTCTTTCTTTTTTAAAGATTTACTATGTATACAATGTATGTAGGCCAGAAGGGGGCATCAGATCTCATTATAGATGGTTGTGAGCTACCATGTAGTTGCTGGGAATTAAACTCAGGACCTCTGGAAGAGCAGCCAGTGCTCTTAACCTCTGAGCCATTTGTCCAGTCCTGTCTTATTACTGGTGTTTGAAGGGAGTGGCTGGCTGTTCTGCCAGTCTCAGCATTATGGGAACATAGTGGACTGGAAACTTGCAGGGGGTTCAGCACCCTAAGTTAGAAAAGAGTCTGTGAAGTCATATGAACATTCACTGCTTTTGCAGAGGACCCAGGTTCAGTTCTCAGCACACAGCAGCTCACAACTGAAGCCTGCTGGCCTCTGCAGGTACTGCATACATGTACATACACGCATGTACATACATGTGGGCAGAACACTCAATAAAATCTTGTTTAAAATGTGGAATAGATCGTGCATGCATTTAATCCGAGCACTTGAGAGGTGGAGGCAGGAACATCCGGAGTTCAAGATTAGCCTTAGGTATGTGGTGATACACAGATTAATGGAGATGGGTTAAGTTAATATGTAAGAGTCAGCCAATAAGAAGCTAGAGCTAATGGGCCAAGCAGTGATTTAAATAATATGGTTTCTCTGTGATTATTTCGGGTCTAAGCTAGCTGGGCGACCAGGAGCCAAACAAGTAGCCGTTCCCTCAACAGGTACATAGTGAATTTGAGGCAAACCTGGGTGCATAAAACACTGTCACAAAAGAGGGGAAAGGGATCCAGGAGGTGTTGAAGTCCACAGTGAATATGGTAAAAATACATTGTATACATGTACAGAATTCTAAAGTTTTGTTTTGCTTTTTGAGAGGGTTTCTCTATGTAGCCCTGGCTGTCCTGGAACTCACTTCTGTAGACCAGGCTGGCCTCGATCCACCTGCCTCTGCCTCCGGAATGTTGGGATCAAAAACCAGTGCCACCACACTTGGCTAGTTTGCTGCTGTTTTAAACTTTTTTTTTTTTTTCTTTTTCCGAGACATGGTTTCTTTGTAGCCTGTCCTGGAACTAGCTCTTGTAGACCAGGCTGGCCTCGAACTCACAGAGATCTGCCTGCCTCTGCCTACTGAGTGCTGGAATTAAAGGCGTGTGCCACCACGCCCCTGCTGTTGTGATGCTTCTATCAGCACGGTTTAGGAGTCAGGAGACAGCGGGGTGTAGTGGCACCTTCCTTTAATCCCAGCACTCAGAGGCCGAAGCAGGCCTGATCTACAGTGTGAGTTTCAGGGCAGCCAGTTCTACAGAGAAACGCCGTGGGTGGGTGGAGGGGGTCATTAAAGAGAGCTCACTCAAATCTGCATTTATTGGTCAGTAAATCGATGTGAGAGTGGCCAAGAACTTTGTGAAATCTACAAAAACGGGTGTGTGTGTGTGTGTGAAGTTTAACATTTTTTTTAGCCGGTGGCGTACGCCTTTAATCCCAGCACTCGGGAGGCAGAGGCAGAGGCAGAGGCAGGTGGACCTTTGTGAGTTCGAGGCCAGCTCGGTCTACAAGAGCTAGTTCCATGACAGACTCCGTAGCTACAGAGAAACCCTGTCTCGAAAAACCAAAAAAAAAAAAAAAAAAAAGGAAATGGCTTTTGATTATAGTAGAGACCTCGGTTGCACAGAAAAGGGCATGGACTTAGCCTGAAATCAACACTACTCTTTGAAACCAACTCTGCTTAGGACTCCGTCTCTTGCGAGCCCAGCTCATGCCCACAGTTGTCTTTAAATGGTCCTTTCTTGAACTGGGAGCCTCATGATCTGGAAATTGGGGTCCCTGTGTGCTCCCTGCCCAACTCCACTCTGGACAAGCAAGGGAGAGGGTACGCATGCAGCATGTGGAGCGGGTCCCACATTGCAAGGGTATTTCGGATCTCAGGGAGGTCTGGGTTGAGGAATACTGAAATTACATAGGGGAAGTGGCCCAGTAAGGGAGGCAGGATCACCCCGGGCACCTCGCTGTGTACTCTATGCAAATGAGCCGGCTCGGGCCCCGCCCCCGCAGCTTGTTTCCGGGTCTGTCAACCTCTGTTGTTGCTGCGCTGCTCGGCGGGGACCCCGGGCGCGGCCATGGAGGCGCGGCGGCCGGTGCGCGTGCTGGTGGACATGGACGGCGTGCTGGCCGACTTCGAGTCTGGCCTGCTCCAGGGTTTCCGCCGTCGCTTCCCCGGGGAGCCGCACGTGCCGCTGGAGCAGCGCCGCGGCTTCCTCGCTAGCGAACAATATCGAGCCCTGCGGCCGGACCTGGCGGTAGGAGGCCCGGCGGAGAACCTCGCTTCCCCGCCCTAGGCAGGGCCACCCGAGTTCCATTCCAGGCACCCCAGCTTCTGAATCCACAGTTCACCCCCAACCAGAAAGCTTGAGCGCGCCCATCCACCTCCAGCATTCTATCCCCAGCGTGGGCTCGGGCTGTTTATCGTGGGTCCTCTCTGGGGCTCCCCCTGCTGTAAGGCAGCAGCGGGACGAGATCTGTCTTTTTCAGGAGAAACTGGCCAGTGTGTATGAAGCTCCAGGCTTTTTCCTGAACTTGGAGCCCATCCCTGGGGCCGTGGACGCTTTGCGAGAGATGAACGACATGCAAGAGTAAGGAGGGTGGAGAGGGGACGGCGGGAGGTCAGCCAGCTCCCCAGGCCTAACCGCCCCCTCTCTCTGCAGCACCGAGGTCTTCATCTGCACCAGCCCACTGCGGAAGTACGACCACTGTGTGGGCGAGAAGGTGCCGGCGCCTGCGCAGATTTAACTTTCCAAATTTGTTTTTTAAAAATAAATCACAGAAAGCGGGGGCTGGGGAAAAGGGGTACCGCACTTTGGAGGGCTTAGTTCCACTTAACCCAACACCTCACTGACCCTGCATTTAAAGCCTAGCAAGCCCATTGACCAATCTGCCTTTTATCCCCCCACCCCCTTCCCATACAGTACCGCTGGGTGGAGCAGAACCTGGGGCCTCAGTTTGTGGAGCGGATTATCCTGACTAGGGACAAGACAGTGGTCATGGGGGACCTACTCATTGACGACAAAGACACCATTCAAGGTTGGGCCAGTTAACCATGATAACCTCCAGGCACTTGGCCTGCTGGGATTAGGGCAAATAACCGGATTACAGTTCCCAAACTGTCTTTCCTGCCCTAGGCCTGGAGAAGACCCCAAGCTGGGAGCACATCCTGTTCACCTGCTGCCACAATCGGCACCTGGCCCTGCCCCCCACCAGGAGACGGCTGCTTTCCTGGAGTGACAACTGGAGGGGGATCATTGACAGCAAGCGAACTGGCCTGTGAAGGACCCTGGGATGGGTCAGCAGGAACCTGCACAGACAGGTGACTTCATGCAGGAAGCCACTGGAACCTTCGCTTGAACAAACTGCCATCTGGCCCTTCTCAAGATGGCTACACCCAGAAGGAGCAGGGCTGGCGCAGAAAATCAGTTAGGAGGATTTTAATAAAAATAAAAACCCAAAGCAAGGCATCTGTTCTTTGAAGACCTTCTCTTAGGAAAGGCCAGGGTCTGTGCTGGGCTGGGGTGGGGCAGAGAACCGCAACTCTGATAGTCTTCTTCCTCCCCTCCTGCAGCGGCCGCACCCACAGCCTCATTCCTACACCCTTGCAGATGGCCTTCCTGGAACACAGCTTTTTGTTCACCATCTAAGGGGGACAGTGCTAGAGATCAGAAGCTCCCCCATTTCTCCTGAACCCCAACCTCTCATCAGGTCTACCCTCTTTTTGCTTCTTTCCCCTTTAGTTTCATTTTTTTTTTCTTTTCGCTGGCATCGGAGGGAGGGAGACAGAATCTTGGTGTCCTTCAGACATTATTGGGACCCTGTTTTTTCCTTTTGGGACAGGATCTTACTCCATAGCCCAAGTCCCCCAAGTTGTGGGGGCTGGTCTCAAACTCATGACTATCCTCCTGCCTCTGTTTCTCAAGTGATAGGATTACAGGTTTGAGCTGCTGTGCTCTCTGGGTCCTCCAGCTGCTGCTGGAGGTTGGTGGCTTCTGGGACAACAGTAGATAGTGGACCTGGGTAGCGGACCTGGGTAGGCTCTTGTCCCGACCATGAAGGGTTCGTATGCAGGGCTCCCATCCCCAGCGTCAGAAGATCCGGTCACAGGCAGAGGGGGCAGAGCAGCTTTTTTGAAGGGACAGGGATGCCACAGTTGGCAGTTGGTACACGAGGGGTCGACAGCCTGGTCACAAGAGGAGCTGAAGTCACTGTCTTTCCATCTGTGTCGCAGGACCCTATGCAGGGCCTCTCTGAAGGGACACTTCGCTGCCCTGTCTGAAGGGACACTTCGCTGTCCTGTCTGAAGGGACACTTCGCTGTCCTCTCTGAAGGGACACTTCGCTGTCCTCTCTGAAGGGACACTTCGCTGTCCTGTCTGAAGGGACACTTCGCTGTCCTCTCTGAAGGGACACTTCGCTGTCCTCTCTGAAGGGACACTTCGCTGTCCTGTCTGAAGGGACATTTCGCTGTCCTGTCTGAAGGGACACTTCGCTGTCCTGTCTGAAGGGACACTTCGCTGTCCTCTCTGAAGGGACACTTCGCTGTCCTGTCTGAAGGGACACTTCGCTGTCCTGTCTGAAGGGACACTTCGCTGTCCTCTCTGGAGGGACACTTCGCTGTCCTGTCTGAAGGGACACTTCGCTGTCCTGTCTGAAGGGACACTTCGCTGTCCTGTCTGAAGGGACACTTCGCTGTCCTGTCTGAAGGGACACTTCGCTGTCCTGTCTTCATTCTGCTCTTGACTCCTGGAGGGCCTTGCTCCTAATGCCCGATGGCCACCTGGTTAACAGTCACTGAGGTGTGACACCCAAGGGCAGAGACCTCATCTGTGTTCCTCACTTGGTGCCTAGCAAAAAGGCAGGGCTGTGTGGACAGTTGTTTCTGGGCGGCAGAGCTACCCAAGTCAGTGTCTGCTGTGCCCAAATGCCCAGCCTCAGTACTGGAGGGGTTACCCCACAGCACCCTCCCAGCGGATAAGGCCAGCTGATCTCTAGCCATCAAATTTCCTCTGGGCACTCATGCTACTGGCCACTCTCCCGAGTCCTGGTTCTAGCAGCTGTTCTTGAGCACCGCTGTGCAAAGCTTGTATAGCAGCGTGTTGGCTGGGCCTGGGGCACCGAGCTGGTCTTCTGTCGGCACTGTTGGGAGCACCAGCCCATGAGAGTCACACCAGCTGTTTCTCTTCTCTAAGCACCTCAGGTCTGGCTCCTTCATTCCTCCCTACTGGTTTTCCTAGCATAAACACCCGTCATGCTCAGAGATCCTACCTTTCATACAGCCGAACAGGCATCCCGTGGGCAGGATGGACGGCTATTGGTCTCTGCTTCCTATGTCAGGACTGGTCTCAGGCAGAAAGTGGCAGAGCCCTGAGGTCTTCTTGGATCAGGGCTGCTGTGGGGCCTCGGTCTTTGGCAGTGGGATACCCAGGGCCGAATGGGCCTGCTGGCTCCGTGCCTCAGCCACCTGGCTTGGGGAGCAGAAGTCCTCCAGGAAGATCTGGGCCAGGTTCCGGAGCCGTATGTTGGCTGAGAGAGAAAAGCGCAGCATGCACTGGACCACAGGCAAGGAGGTGAGCTCGGGATGGGAGCCCGTGCCGGGTGAGCTTAGGTACATGAGTGTGGTGACTGCAGATAACACCGTCTCCTCGTTGGGACTGGACAGGCAGTTGGTGATGAGCGGGATGCCTCCGGCCTGCAGAATGTGCTCCTTGTTGGCCTTGTCCGGGGACAGGTTGCAGAGGCCCCCTGGAGAAAGGCAAGGTTGAGCCCGGGTGCTGGTGCTGTGGTCCTGGCTCTCTCATCTCTCCTCCCAGCACCTCTGGCCAGTGAGCCTGGGGGAGTGCCCAGGCCTGGGGAAAGTTTGCCCATGGACAAGGACTGCAAGGTCACCGAAGCCCAGACTTTTCAAGACTTCAGAAATCCAGCCTGCTCTATCAGCCCTAAGTGAAGTAGACACAACACCATGCCTCACAGTGACTAGAGAGGAGAGGAGGAAAGTTCAGAGTGAGAGACCAGTGACTCTGGATTAAAAAAAAAAAAAAACTGTCAAGAGGGCTGGAGAGATGGCTCAGAGGTTAAGAGCACTGGCTGCTCTTCCAGAGGTCCTGAGTTCAATTCCCAGCAACCACATGGTGGCTCACAACCATCTGTACTGAGATCTGGCGCCCTCCTCTGGCGTGCAGGCATACATGGAGGCAGAATGTTGTATACATAATAAATAAATAAATCTTTAAAAAAATAACTGTCAAGAGCAGGGAAGGACTGGGAGGAGAGGAGGGAGGAGAAACTGCGGCCAGCATGTAAAATAATAAATAAAGAAACAAATAAATAAATAAAACTATCAAGAGATGGCTCAGAGGTTAAGAGTGTTGACAGCTCTTCCTGAGAACCCGTGTTCAGTTCCCAGCACCCACATGGTGGCTCACAACCACCTGTGACCAATTCCAGGTGCTCCAATGCCCTTTTGTCTCTATAGACACCAGGCATGCATGTAGCACATGTACATATACAGACAAAACACTGATATAAAAACAAGAACCAGGCCGGGCGGAGGTGGCGCACGCCTTTAATCCCAGCACTCGGGAGGCAGAGGCAGGCGGATCTCTGTGAGTTCGAGGCCAGCCTGGTCTACAAGAGCTAGTTCCAAGGGCAGGAACCAAAAGCTACGGAGAAACCCTGTCTCGAAAAATCAAAAAAAAAAGAAACAAAAAAAAAACAACCAAGAACCAGGACCCCTTCTTCCATTCTCAGGGTAGGTCCCCTGACCTAATGACCTCTTGGCCGTGGGGACAGATGCTAATTTTTACAGAGAAACACTGCTTAGCTTCGGCTCCTCAGTGCCGGAAGATGGCTTCCTGTACGTGCTGACTCAGCTTCCGGCCATCAGGGCGCTAGGCCCCTCTGCCTAGCTGGCAGCATCTCTTGAAGATGAAGAGGAGGGTGAGGGCCCAGGAGAATGGCTGAGAGCTTCTGAGACCACAGACTGGGCCGGGGCACCGAGATGGTCCCACATGACCCACCAGAGCCCCTGCCCAGTCCATGACCCTGAGTCTGCCCACTGTGAAGGGCTACGGAGCTGGGCAATGGTGGCATACACTTTTAAGCCCAGCACTCTGACTCTGAGGCCAGCTACAGAGAGGGCTACATGGAGAAACACTGTCTCAAACAAACTAACAGCCGCCCACCATAAAAAAGAACCAAGCTGAGTTCGAGGCCAGGCTGGTCTACAGAATGAGTTCCAGGACAGCCGGAAGAAAAAAAAAAAGGTGGAAGCAGCCTGTGTTCCCTGGAACTGGAGGACAGGCTCTGCCCGGGCTTCCCCTCTCCAGCCTTGGGCTGGAGAGACCGCACAGTCTTTAAGACCACTGACTGCTCTTCCAGGGGACCCAGGTTCAATTCCCAGCACCCACATGGCAGTTCACAACTGTCTGTAACTCCAGGATCCAACACCCTCACACAGACTTACATGCAGGCAAAACACCAACGCACATAAAATAAAAATAAACTAAAAACAAAACAAAAAAAAAAAGGACTAGAGAGAAAGTTCAACAGTTAAGACCACACACTACTCTTGCTGAAGATTTGGGTTCAGTTCCCAGATCTTTATAAGCAGCTCACAACCACTTCTAACTCAGCCCCATATTGCCTGATTTGATTACCTGACGCCTTCTTCTGTGTCCACATGGACCCACCCCACCTTCACCCCTACCACACACATACACATACATGAAATAAAACCTTCTGAAGTCCTAAAGGTAAAGGAAAGCAATGCTGGAGTTGGGGAGATGGTACTTGTCATGCAGGATGAGCACCTGAGCACCCGCAGAAAAAGTCAGACATGATCGTGTGGGTCTGTAACCTCTTCATAGGGGCAGAGAGAGGAGAGAACAGGAGTGTGTGTGTGTGTGTGTGTGTGTGTGTGTGTGTGTAGTGAGCTCCAGAGTCAGTGACAGCCACAGAGGAAGACCCTTAACCTCTGGCCTCCACACCCATGAACGCACACATAGAAAGAATTAATTAGTGTGTGTGTGTGTTTGTGTGCCAAGTGATAGAGTCTTACAGTATAGCTCTGGCTGGTCTAGAACTTGCTATGTAGAACAGGCTGGCATTGAACTCACAGAAACTCATCTTCCTTTGCCTCCCAAATGCTGGCATTAAAGTCCTGTGCCACCATGCCTCCCTACAACCCCCTACTTTTTTTTTTTTATTAAGAAACCAGATTTAGGATGGATCTTGTATGATCTCACTCATATAAAGTGCAAGACCAGGTAAAAGCAACCCATTGGAACAGAGGTCAGAGCTGCGCCTGCACGGGGCACATGGGGGAAACAAGCCACATCTCGACAGAGGAGCCGGTACATGTAGGGGCACATACCTTAATGAACTTAAGGATTAATTAAACTGCCTGCCACTCAGTGCATCTCACTGTACACTCTCCACACTGCACTTACAAGGCAGTTACGAAACAGAAAGGGGCGGGGCTGGGGTGTGGCTTGGTGGCGGAGTGCTCGCCTAGGTTCCTGGTTAATTCTCAGCACCATCAAAAAGAAAAATGAGAGAAAAGCAAGTCCTGACTAGCTGAATAATTTACTTTAGACAGACAAAGGCGGAAAAAAACAGCTCAAGGCAAGAGATGACAGCTCCGCTGGACACCAGTAACCATAGAAACCCCAAGAGGCTGGAGAGGAAATCCCGAGGAGAACCTGAGATGGGAGGGCTGGACTGGGAGAAGCTGGTGGCCTGGAGTCACAGAGGAGGCACCGGTGCTGGGAGATGCTCTCAGGGTTTTCCTGGGGATTTAAAGAGGTGACACAGACAGGGATCCGTCAGCACTGGGCACCTCCTGACTGGGTGAGCTCTCCCTGAGAAGGGCCAAGAGGTTCCTTCCACTTAAGACCTTGCCCACCTCAGGGCACAAGGCTGGCATAGCCGGTGGAGTAGGGTGAGGTGGCAAACACCCACAGTCCTCGCTACTAGGGCAGCTGAGGAAGGAGGATCACTCAAGCTCAGGAGCCCAGGGGAAGCCTGGACAACATAGTAAACCCTTCCTTCACTCAAAAAATATAAAACCGATCGTGGAAATACCGGTAAAGGTACTTGAGCCTGCCTGGTGGCCCAAGTCTAAGGACAGGAACCACAGAAAGATGGGACTGTGCATGCAAGCCACTGCACTCCGCCTGTACTTTTCTTGAAAAGAAAAGTTCTTTCCAATGACAAACACATCTAATTAAATCTAAAGAGAAACACACTGTTGCATTCCAAAGACACTATAGGCAGCCTTTGAGCACTACTACCACCTGGTGGCATCGTTATGCATTGCAAGAGACAGGAAGGCAATTTAACCTGAATTCTCAGGTCATTTTTTTTAGTGGGGCGGGGATGGGGACAGGGGTTCTAGATAGTGTTTCTCTGTATGTAGCCCTGGCTGTCATGGAACTCTGTATATGTATACCAGGCTGGCCTCAAACTCTCAGAGATCCACCTACCTCCACCTCCGGAGTGCTGGGATTAAAGACGTGCGCCACCACCGCCTGGGTAGAGGCCACTTGTTGAATCTAGCTTTAAAACTGCCAAGTACCCGGTGCTGTCCTGAGAACCAATCGGTTTTCACAGAAGCAAGGTACTTACTACGTTGCTCTGTATCCACCGCTCTGGGATGAGAGAGATGCACAGGATGTTCTTAGCCGGGGCTGCAGCTCGGCTCTTTCGTTCATTAATGAGTGTGTACAGGGGTCTAGCTTTGTAGCTGGTGCCCCATAATTCATCCACAGTCGCAATCATGGGCAGCTTTTTTGTTTTGTTTTTTCAGAAAGGGTTTTGCAGTGTAACCCTGGCTGTTCTGGATCTCACCCTGTAGACCAGGCTGGCCTTGAACTCAGAGATCTGCCTGCTTCTGTCTCCTGAGTCCTGGGATTAAAGGCACACCCTGTTGCTGCCAGCACCTCTACCACTGCCACCACAGGCCACAGTTAGCTCTTGTGTGACTAAAGTCACTGCCCAGTGGCTGTTAGTTCCTCTGTACGGTACGCCTTCACACTAGCGCTAACTCCTAACTGTGGCAGAGGGGGCAGTGTCATAGCAACAAAAGCAGGGAAGATGAGGTCCTGGAGTTGAGCATGGGTTCTGCCCGCTGGGTCCCCTCTGCAGAGCTCAGATCCTCGAAGGTGAGGCTAACACCGGCTCTAATGTCACAACTAGTGGGAGTCAGCCGTGCGGAGGAGAGGTTTCCTGATCTGCGAGGAGGGTTTCGTCCCACTTGCTTGACACAGGGCAATCCCACCTCACTCTTCCCTGGAACCGACAGCTGGACCTGGCTATGTTGACGAGGGGCTACTGTAGCATTCGGGGCACTACCACAGCTGGCGGATAACTGCAACCAGTGGCACCCCCAGATCTCAGGCTCCTGTTTCAGAGCCAGAGAGGACCACTCAGGGATCAGTTCTCGCCTACAGTGTGTGTCCTGGGGACTGAAAGGTGGCCAGACAGCAAACGCCTTTCCCCACGGGCCATCTCTCTGGTCCTTTCCACTTCCATTAAAAAGAAACACAGTATTCTGTCTGCATTTATTCCTGCAGGCCAGAAGAGGGCACCAGATCTCATTACAGATGGTTATGAGCCAACATGTGGTTGCTGGGAATTGAACTCAGGGTCTTTGGAAATGGAGCCAGTGCTCTTAACTACTGAGCCAGCTCTCCAGCCCCTCCACTTAAGTTTTAAACCTGGCCCCTTGTGAGTTCGAGACCAGCCTGGTCTACAAGAGCTAGTTCCAGGACAGGCTCCAAAACCACAGAGAAACCCTGTCTCGAAAAACAAAAAAACAAAACAAAACAAAAAAAACCTGGCCCTTAAACTTTACCGAATCTTTGAACCCAGTTTGTAAGGGAGATTCTTTATGCAATGAAACTTCAAAAACCATAAAATCATCTCACCCACACCACATCTCGGATGTGTGCTGTTGTTCTTAAGCCCCCACCTCTGACGCCCACACTTTGACCACATCGTGGAAGATCTCATTTCTCCAAGGACACAGATATATCTGGGAAGAGGTCAGTCAGGCTACCAGCCCAAGTCCCACTGCAACAGGGTTCCACTGCAGCTCCTAGCTGCTGACAACAAGCATTATCTCCAGGGTGAGCAGCAACACCGGGAAGGAGAGCAGGCCCACACTGACCTCACCCCCCAACTGCATGCTAGTGTTGCAGAAGCAGACAGCTATGGCCCGGGAGCAAGGGCAGGGTACAACCAGCATGCTTGACGCTAGGCTTTCTCCACTTAACCCTGCCTAGGTATCCGCTGTGAGGCTGAGGATCCACATACCTACTGCCCCTGCTTTTCTAGAGGGCGAGAATCCCTGAGCAGAAGGGTGGTTCCCTGATGGGATATTGTTCCATCCTACCTGGGAGAAGAGAGAAGAGAGATTGTAGCTCGAAAGTGATCTGGATTCAGGTCCATGGGCAGAGGCCTAGGAGACCCTGTAGTGGCAGGCAAAGACCCTAACGAGTAGCTACTTACAATTTCCCTCTGACAGGTGACTGAGGGAAATGACACATGAGATGGTAACTGAATCCAAACCAGTCTGATCCCCCAGCCCAGCTCCTTCATATCAAAACTCACTGTTTGCCAACAGACAGATGCTGGTTTGGGTTCTGCAAGACTTGGCCAAGGGCACTCTGACCTGGCTTGTCTCTTGCCTGGCTACTGCAGAACCAAACAGTCCCTCATGAGGCCTCTGCGTCAGTCATGTCTGGGACTACATCCTTTGAAGACTCTTTTCCGAATCTGCCTCTTGACTCTCCTTCCACCTTCCACCCCAGGCCAAAAGACCTGCACACCCTTGAACTGCAGAGATAAGCAGAGCCAGGCTTGCTTCCCAGGGAGATCACCTCCTTAGTGCCCCCATTAGGTCAGGGACAAAGACTAGACGCTCCGAGGTGGACACAGCGCTCTTGGCAGCAGGGCGGGGGTGTGGCAGGGCTCCCCTCTAGCGCCAGAGGTGATCCAAGGAAG